GAGTCTTTTGTTTGTACTTGAGAGGAAAGCTTACAATTGAAATATTTCTTTGAAACCAAGTCTAGTAAATGGGTTAGGTTATTGTTTTGCATTGATTTCTGACATTATTTACCCATTTTAAAAATATACTAGAATTTTAAAAATATAATTCCATTTCAAGAAAATTTTTTCCACAAAATAAAGTACTTAGCAAATCCCACTGTCCACCACCCAAAAATAATTTCCATGACCCTATCGTCAATTACTACTTACTTTGTTGTAGTTTCATCGTTTTTTTGATTACTTTTTATTTTTCAAAACGGCAACCATATGCCGTGTCAGAGTCAAGCAAAACAATTTGAACTTTGTATGTTCGGTTTCTGTGTCTAGAGAAATTATTACCAGGAGCAAACATAACAGAAACTCCAAAACACCAAGTGAATCCATCAGTTGGAATATGAGAACAACAACAACAACACCATTTGGAAATTCCTAAGAAATTCTAAACATGGATGGCAACAAAAAAAAACCTCTTCCATCTAGCCACTATTAACATGGAATTTCATTGATTTTTTTCGCAAATGTCTTGTTTTCTGGTTGTTGGGTAAGGTAATGATGCGACAGCAGGTCCCAGTTGTTGTTGATGGGGGAGGCTTTCATTAAAACCAACCATTCAAATGTTGTTTTTTTTTCAATTATTTTCAATTATTGTGTTGATAGTTTCAATTTTTTTAAAGTTTCTAAAGTTCGAGAGAAAAAGGAAAAACCAGTAAGGACGGGGCCGACTATATGATACCCTTCACCACTTTGGATATATATGCAACAGATGGAATCCTAACAGACGTCGCATTTTTGAAGGACCATTAACATGAAATTAAACATGTCATTCTGCAACCTTTACTAATCTTGGGTCAGATATAGAGTTGCTTCTTACTATAGGGCAATATTATGTAAATAAATTTAAAGCAAAATATCGAAATCTAAAGCGATTTCATCGAAACCTGTCACATGTTAGGTTACACTTATTTCAGTATGTTTTGTGCATTCGGCCACATTTTGAGTTCTCTATTTACTTATAAATCCAAACTTCGTGCAAATTGAAGGATATATAGAGACTTTGTTGCACCATTTACATAAAATAGGACGAAAATATATATTGGAGCTACATCTAAATCTGAACCGATTACCACGAAATTTAACATACATCTTTCTAGACTTAATTCAGTACGCTGTGCCAAATTTCGTGCAAATCGAAGGATATATAGGACTTTGGTACACCATTTACATAAAATCGGGCGAAACTTATATATGGGAGCTATATCTAAATCTGAACCGATTTTCACGAAATTTAACATACATCTTTCTATACTTAATTCAGTACGCTGTGCCAAATTTCGTGCAAATCGAAAGATATTTAGGGACTTTGGTACACCATTTACCTAAAATCGGACGAAAATATAGATAGGAGCTATATCTAAATCTGAACCGATTTGCACGAAACTTAGCACATATCATTCTAGATCTAATTCAGTACGCTGTGCCAAACTTGGTGCATATGGAGAGATATATGCGGACTTTAGTGCACCATTTACCTTTAATCGGACGAAAATATATATGGGAACTATATCTAAATCTGAACCGATTTGCACGAAACTTAGCACACATCATTCTAGACTTAATTTAGTATGCTGTGCAAAATTTCGTGCAAATCGTAGGATATTTAGGGACTTTGGTGCACTATTTACCAAAAATCGGATGAAAATATATATGGGGGCTATATCTAAATCTGATCCGATTTTCACGAAACTTGGCACACACCATTCTACGCTCAATTGAGAACGCTGAGCCAAATGTCGTGCAAATCGAAAGATATTTAGGGACTTTGGTACACCATTTACCTTAAATCGGAGGAAAATATACATGGGAGCTATATATAAATCTGAAGCGAATTGCACGAAACTTAGCACACACCATTTTAGGCTCATTTAAGAACACTGTGCCAAATTTCGCACAAATCGAAAGATATTTAGGGACTTTGGTGCACCATTTACATAAAATCGCGCGAAACTATATATGAGAGCTATATCTAAATCTGAACTGATTTTCACGAAACTTAGCACACAACATTCTAGGCTCAATTAAGAACACTGTGCCAAATTTCGTGCAAATCGAAAGATATTTGGGGACTTTAGTGAACCATTAACCCTAAATAGGACGAAAATATATATCGGAGCTATATCTAAATCTGAACTGATTTGCACGAAACGTAGCACACAATATTCTAGGCTCAATTAAGAACGCTGTGCCAAATTTCATGCAAATCGAGATATATTTAGGGACTTTGATACACCATTAACCTTAAATCGGACGAAAATATATATGGGAGCTATATATAAATCTGAATCGATTATCACGAAACTTTGCACACATCAGTCTAGGATGAATTCAGTACGCTGTGCCAAATTTCTTACAAATCGGAAGATTTAGAGGGTTTTTGGTGCACCATTTACCTTAAACCGGTCGAAAAAATATATGAGAGCTATTTCTAAATCTGAACCGATTTTCACGAAACTTAGCACAAATCATTCTATTTCTAATTCAGTACGCTATGCTAATTTTCGAAAGATATATAGGAACTTTGGTGCATCATTTACCTTAAATCGGACGAAAATATATATGGGATCTATATCTAAATCTGAACCGATTTTCACGAAACTTAGCACACATCATTCTAGGCTTAATTTAGTATGCTGTGCAAAATTTCGTGCAAATCGTAGGATATATAGGCACTTTGGTGCACTATTTACCTAAAATCGGATGAAAATATGTATATATGGGAGCTATATCTAAATCTGAATCGATTTTTCCCAATTTCAATAGGGTTCGTCTTTGGACAAAATAAATGAGCTGTGCCAAATTTCATCCAATTCGAATCAAAAATGCGACCTGTACTTTGACGGACGGACATGCATAAATCGACTTAGAAAGTGATTTTATGCATATTCTCAAAAGGAACCATGTTTCTATCTCGTTTCCTTTTGCCTGTTACATACATATGCACAAAGACATAATACCCTGTACCACAGTGTGGTGAAGGGTATAAATAGACAAACAGAAAATAAAAATTGCAATAAGTTCGGCAACAATATATCGACATTCAATATATCTACTATAAATAGGGATTTTTATATGCGGACTATGGCGTTAATTGCTGCTAGGAAAACGAAATACTAAAGTACAGACCCTCACAAGTCGGAAAATTTGACTGGGCTGATGCTAAAATACCGATAAATATTAAAAATGTTCTGCGAAAAAGTTGTTTATCCGTGAGTTTTTTTTTAATATTTTCAGGGTCTATTCCTAGGGCGTTTTTAAAACAAAAAATTATGGGTCTACCCATAGTCGTGGATTTATAAAAAAATATTTTTCAGAGCCTACTTATAGGCGTGGCTTTAAAAAAAATATTTTTTCAGAGCCTACTTAGGCGTGGATTTTAAAAAAAAATATTTTGTTAAGCGTCTACTTATAGGCGTGGATTTTTAAAAAAATATTTTGTTAAGCGTCTACTTATAGGCGTGGATTTTTAAAAAAATATTTTGTTAAGCGTCTACTTATAGGCGTGGATTTTTAAAAAAAATATTTTTTCAGAGCCTACTTAGGCGAGGATTTTTAAAAAAATATTTTTTCAGAGCCTACTTAGGCGTGGATTTAAAAAAAAAATTCAGAGCCTACTTAGGCGTGGATTTTTAAAAACAAATATTTTGTTAAGCGTCTACTTATAGGCGTGGATTTTTAAAAAAAAATATTTTTTCAGAGCCTACTTATAGGCTAGGATTTCTTTTAAATATTTTTTCGAAGTATTGCAAACGTAATAATAAATGTAATATACACCCCACTTCATAGTGCAGGTTGAAAAAAAATACAGCCAAAGTGATTAGAATGGTTTAGAATTTAGTTGGAATTGTTGGCCTTCAAAGTTTGTTTGTACAACAACAAAAACAAAGCATTTAAGGTTTTGCAAAGGTAAAAGCTTAATGGCTTATAGATGTATACACACACATACAAAAACCAATCTCCTTACATTCACAGCGATATACGTTATTTGGGAATAAACCTCCACATGGTTTGTCATTGCAGTTAACCATTATTCCCTCCGTTTTTTTTCGTTTGTCCATCTGTCAAGTCCTCTCCAAGCACATAAATGACAATCATTCTTAGGAAACAACTCTATTAAGTCACCAGTTACTTCGCTTTGTTGTTGTTGTGTTTGTTTGTTGACTGCGTTGACATTTACATATCAGAAAAACGAACTAAATTCCAGGGAAGTATTTAAAAGTGGCACCCCAAAAAAACAACGAAATCATAGCTGTGGATACCACAACAACAACACCAAAATGTGAAATATCTGCAACAAAATTGACTGGTCAAAACTTCCACTTAAAAGTGTTATATTTGTGGGAGTAGCAAGGAAACCTATCCTGTTTTTTTTTTATATTTTTTTCAATTTTTTTCCAAACTATGAATTGCTAGCCCGGCAAGGCAAGTGAATGGCTACTGGGTTAAGTACCAGAGGCTGGTGTAGCCTAACTGGCTGCCAAAAAAACCAACCACCACTTCACATGAATTTTGAGGGAAAATGAAATTGTTTACAGACAGACCTTGGCAATTGTGGCCAAAGTAAGTGAGTGAAGGAGATTGATCACAAATCGATAACTGGAAAAAAAAACACACACACACCAAACCCTCATTCGTGACCATAGTAAATATGTAGATTGAATTCCCTCTCCTAAATAACGAAAAAAAAAACAATTCTACTAAAAGTCGTAGTCCATATTATATTTTGGGGCTTTTACTTAACATAAATGTCTGGTTTTGTTGTTGTTTTTTTTTTACTATGTGTGATTTATTGTTTTTAATGTGGCCCTAACACTCAACCATTACTTAATGGCGTAGAAAATAGGTTTACATTTCAATACGATTAAATTTAAAATATTGTTTCTTGTGTTTTCATTTCTTTGCAGGCTTTATCCGGTTTCCTAATGATGTTAACCCAAAATGGCAAACTATTGTATATTTCGGATAATGCTGCGGAATATTTGGGCCATTCTATGGTAAGTTGAAAATTAAATTAAATATAAAAATAATTGGTAACCTCTCAAGGCAGAGGTTATAAATAACATTGTGCAACAAAAATTGGGAAGGGGTTAAATGTCTTATAAAAACCCTTGGCGAGAGGGTTAAAAATTGAAAATGACAAAGAAAATATATAAAATATCGATGTCTTGTCTTTGAGGACCGCATGGGCGACATTTTTGTAGAATATTTGGAGGACAAAAAAACAAGGATAAAAATACGCACAAGGGCTTGAGGATATAGGAGTATATTTTTTATACAAATATTCCTCATTCGAGTTGACTGAAGAAAAAAAAATAATTTTTTCCAGTCTCACCATAATGGTGATGAAAATATTGATCAAAAATCTAGCCCTTTCTCTCCTATCTCTTTCTCTGATGTCTATAGGCAAAAATAAGACATAAGTCTTTCGTTCTATAAACTAAGAGAAGATGTTGAGAAGTATTGTTAATTGTAGGAGGATTCTTTGTAATGTTTGGGAAATTACTCATTGTCGCCGTAGAAAAGAGGCCCAGGAGAACGGCTCCGAAATATAATATTAATCTATACTAATAGAAGATCAAAGTGACTGACATAACGATTCATCAACACCCGGACGAAACGGCTGAAGCTAGAATCTTGAAATTTGGGGTGAGGAACACTCTTGGTCCAAAAAAGTGTCAAATTTGTTGGAAATAGGTAAAGTACTAAATGTGGTACCATTTGTTAAGGGTCTACCCATAGTCGTGGGATTTTTTAAAATAATTCTTCAGGGCCTACCTACAGGCATGGATTTTTTTAAAATATTTTTTCAACGTAGGCGTGGATTTTTTTAAAATATTTTTTCAACGTAGGCGTGGATTTTTTAAAAAATAATTTTTGAAGGACTCATTTTTTGGGGTCCTTAAGTAGGCGTGGATTTTTTTTAAATATTTTTTCTATGACCTACCATAGGCGTGGATTTTTTTTAAATATTTTTTCAGTATCTATCCATAGGCGTGGATTTTTTTAAAATATTTTTTCAGTGTCTATCCATAGGCGTGGATTTTTTTAAAATATTTTTTCAGTGTCTATCCATAGGCGTGGATTTTTTTTAAATATTTTTTCAGTGTCTATCCATAGGCGTGGATTTTTTTAAAATATTTTTTCAGTGTCCTTCCATAGGTGTGGATTTTTTTAAAATATTTTTTCAGTGTCCTTCCATAGGTGTGGATTTTTTTAAAATATTTTTTTCAGTGTCCTTCCATAGGCGTGGATTTTTTTTTAAATATTTTTTCAGTGTCCTTCCATAGGCGTGGATTTTTTTTTAAAATATTTTTTCAGTGTCTATACATAGGCGTGGATTTTTTTGTTTAAATTTTTTCAGTGTCTATACATAGGCGTGGATTTTTTTTTAAATATTTTTTCATTGTCTATCCATAGGCGTGGATTTTTTTTAAATATTTTTTCAGTGTCTATCCATAGGCGTGGATTTTTTTAAAATATTTTTTTCAGTATCTATCCATAGGCGTGGATTTTTTAAATATTTTTTTATTGTCTATCCATAGGCGTGGATTTTTTTAAAATAGTTTTTCAGTATCTATCCCTAGGCGTGGGTTTTTATACCCTTCACCACACTGTGGTACAGGATATTATGTCTTTGTGCATATGTGTGTAACAGGCAAAAGGAATCGAGAAAGATCCATTGTTCCTTTTGAGAATATGCATAGAATCACTTTCTGCGTCGATTTACGCATGTCCATCCGTCTGTCCATGTATTTTTCTGAACAAAGTGCAGGTCGCAATTATCATCCGATTTGCTTGAAATTTGGCACAGTTTATTTATTTGGCCAATGGCGAACCCTATTGAAATTGCAGAAAATCGGTTCAGATTTGGATATAGCTCCCACATATAGTTTCGTTCGATTTTAGGTAAATGGTGCATCAAACTCCCAATACTTGTCCGATTGAGACAAAATTTGTACAGAGTACTGAATTACATGCCAAGTTTTGTTGAAATCGGTCCAGATTTATATATAGCTCCCATAAATAGCTTCGTCCGATTTTATGTAAAAGGAGCATCATACTGTCCATATTTGTCCGATTGAGACAAAATTTTACACCGAGTATTGAATTAGACCCAGATTGATGTATGCGAAGTTTTTTTGAAATCGGTTCAGATTTAGATATAGCTTCCATATACATATAGTTTCGTCCGATTTTAGGTAAATGGTGCACCAAAATCCCAATATTTGTCCGATTGAGACAAAATTTTGCAGAGAGTATTGAATTAGGCTCAAATTTATGTAGGTCAATGAATTGAGGATCATTAGTGGATTAGAGAATAGATGTAGCAAAGGGCTTTTTGGACATTCGAACTATAAATATACGAAAATGTACTAAATTTGGTGCAATCCTTAGTATGTGAATGGAAGGTTGAAATAGGGTCGATATAAGGAGGTGGTTTTGAAAGCGTAGACTTATGTATGAAAGAAGTCCTACGTTGTACTAAATTTGGTACAATTTGAATTTGGAGAAACGGAAGGAGCTGGAATCCTGAAATTTCAAATTAACATTACCGTCAGAGTGTAGAATAACGATATGTAGTTAGTTTTGAAAATTTGTACTTATGTATACGAAAAGTACTAACTGGTACTATTTTGGTACAGTCTGAATTTGGGTGAACCGATAGAGCTGGAACACTAAATATTTGGAAATAAGATTACAATTGTAAAATTCAATTCTAACACTGAAATTTGGAAATAAGATTATTGTCGGAGTGCAGAATTGGAAGTGTAGATGTAGTTTTGAAAATTTGTACTTATGAGCTGGAATGCTGAAATTTGGGGTGTAGGATTGGACAATGTAGAAAGCTTTGGGTGTAGTTTTGGAAATTTGTACTTTTGAGTAATAAATGGTACTAAATTTGATACAATTGGGGTTTAGATTAGAAAAGTTGGAATAGAAAAATTTGAAATTATGATTACTATTGGAGTGTTGGTAGTTTTGTAAATTCGTACTTATTCGTACAAAATGGTACTAAATTTGGTATAATTTGAATTTTTGGAAAACATATAGAGCACAATCCTTAAATTTAGGGTTAAGATTTCTGTTTGAGTGTAGGATTAGGATATGTAGGTAGTTTGAAAAATTTGTACTTCTGGAATACTCAAATTCAAATTGGGGTTCAGAATTGAGGTATGTAGGTAGTTTTGTGAATTCGTACTTATGTGTACTAAATGGTACTAAATTATGTTCATTTTGAATTTTGGATTAACCGATAGAACTACAATCCGTAAATTTAGAGTTAGAATTCCTGTTGGGATGTAGGACTGGGACATGTTGGTGTCTTTTTACACAAAAAATCAGTAAAAGAGTGTGAATTGAGAGATCTATTATGAAAATTAACTCAGCAAATTTTTTCTTAGAAAAACAATGGATATGATTATGAACTCATGTATTTTTAACAAATTTGGGAATTTAAAAAAATTCTATATTTTAACTTTTTATATATTTTTTGTGGAGAAGAATCTTTCTTATTCTCACGAAGAAAATACTGAGTAATTATACCCTACACCCAAGAGTTTGTAAAGCGGCGAAATATTGGTCCTAGACCCACCTTTAAGTATACCGATCGTTATATCTCGACTAGGTGAGTCGATCTAGACATGTGTGTCCGTCCTGCTGTCCATTATAATTTGTAAACACAATACAGGCCACAGTTATGGACCAATCTTCACGAAATTTTGCTATGGCCAATGAAGACCAGTATTGTTTTTTGAAGTTGATAGTATATCCAAGAGGAGTGCTTGACCTTTAAATTTGGTATCAATTTTATTGTCGTGCGCACTCGGATGTGGGAGTTACACATAAATATTTACAGTTGCTTACGTGTTCAGATATTATTTAGTAACCACTAGAAGGCGGAAATATAGCACTGATCGCTTTAAAAATGTCCACGTATGGTCAAGGATAACGCCTATAATTTTCTATGCTGATCAGATAATAATATTGGGACCAAGTGGAGCGAAACTTATTTGTTTGTGCTTTTTTGAGTCGATCTATAGACCACAATTGAAAGGCGAACATCACAACACAAGCCAAGGTGAAGGGAATCTGGACAAGTAATTAGAAGGGCGGTACTGAATATTTGTAATATTTTTTTAAAGAATATTTTTCACGTACCTTTATGAGGCGTGGATTTTTTAAAGAATATTTTTCAAGTACCTTCATAAGGCTTGGATTTGAGTCGATCTATAGGCCACAATTGAAAGGCGAACATCACAACACAAGCCACGGTAAAGGGAATAGGGACAAGTAATTAGAAGGGCGGTACTGAATATTAGTAATATTTGTTGACCTCCAATCGGTCAAGAGGGTGAAAATATCGCGAAATATTGCCCATGCTCAGAATATGGAACCTAAGAATGTTATATTTTCGTGGAAGTGTATGGTCGGCCCCGTCCGACTATTCTGCTCCACTCACTGGTTATTACTGGAAAAGTAGCTTATCATATATAATGATATCATATTAATGATAATGGCATAACCTATTTATATCCTAATAACCTTATTCCCAATAGCCTCCTCTCAATTAAATTAGATCAAAAATAACCTAGCCTTCAGCAAAACAATAATTTCAATTAAAATACAAAATTTCGAAATAATTGTGCCTTCATTATAGTTATGTGCTTTTCTTTTCTTATTTTGTATTTGTAAATAATGGACCCCGACTACTTTTGTGGCCATAGAGATATAGCTATACTTTATGAGTCCTAGTGTTTACGGTGTCAATAGTTCAAATTCAATTTTTACCAGTTCATAATTAATTCTCAGTTCAAAACACCAGCAACAACAACAGCACTGTTTTATGGAGTTTGGTCAGCAGAAGAGAAATAAACGTCAAATAAAGTAACGATAGCAACAACAACAACAACGACACCAGCAAAAATAGCAATACCCTTTCAAAGTTTTATAACTTATCAATAAATCTTGGATATGTGGCTTTTGGCAATGGCCTGGACGGGCCAAGCCAGGCCGAGTCAAGTCAAGCAGGCAGGCAGGCAGGCCATAACAGCAGACACATAACGACACACCCAAATGAAATGAATTCATAGCTGTTTTACATATAAATTTTCTAGCTCACACACACATATATATAGGGGTTAGACAACTTGTAGTTTTTGGGGGGTGTTTTTTGTTTTTGCTGGGACAAAAGTACTTTTAATTTACTTAAGTCGGAACATTTCCTTTTTCGAAAAAAAGAAAAAAAAACACACACACACATAATCGAAAAGTCTCAAAAATTATGGTCTGGTTTATAAATCGATGTATGTGTCTTTGATGATATTCAAATAAATATGCCGGTTCATATGGGGGTCTTATGAACAAAAACACTCACACACACATACACCCGAATATTGTGAGTGAGGTTTTGACACAAAGCCCATTTGCGGTGTTGTTCTTGTTCTTCAAATGCAATTTTTAATTTGCACAAATAATTGAAGTGGCTTGGCTATTCGTTTTTTGTTGCTACCTTTGTTGTTGTTATTTTGTTGTTCTCTGCTGTCGCTATTATTCTTCTTAAGCTTTGCTGGGTTAAATGGAAAATTTATGGCCTGTCTTTGCATAGCTGGTCAGAGGTTTAATTCCTTCCAACGACATGCCACTAGTCTTGGTGTCTATGGCCACGACGACAACAACAACAACAACAACAAAAATTTATCATAACTATGACATAATGGTACAGTTTAATTAAATGGTGTCTTAAGGCGTGTCGTCATCATCATTGAGTAACATGGCCTGGCCTGGTGTTACTAACATGTCTAACATTTACCAGTGGCTGGTCATTTAGCCAGTTTAGCAGCCATCCCCTCAATTTGTTTTGAATGGAAGATCCTTGTATGAAAATTCATAGCGGCATCCATTGCCAATTGCAATGACATTTCGATAAATGAAATGTGATTGCCAATTAGCGTTGTTATGACATTTATTGCCACATTGTTATTTGGAATGTGTCAAATGGAATGAATGTACTTTTTCGGATATGACCCCAGGGAGTCAGTCTAGAGGATATGTAAAGATGAGTGGATTACAATGTTTTTAATATGTTGCACAACAAAAGACTTAAGACACAAACACGTTCTGAACTTCTTCTATCCTACACAAGAAGAAGAATCGTTTATAAGATTGGATTGGACCTTAACAAGGCGTGGATTTTTTAAAGAATATTTTTCAAGTACCTTTATGAGGCGTGGATTTTTCAACGAATATTTTTCAAGGACCTTTATAAGGCGTGGTTTTTTTAAAAATATTTTTCAAGTACCTTCATAAGGCGTGGATTTTTTTAAAAATATTTTTCAAGTACCTTTATAAGGCGTGGATTTTTTTAAAAATATTTTTCAAGTACCTTTATAAGGCGTGGATTTTTTTAAAAATATTTTTCAAGTACCTTTATATGGCGTGGATTTTTAAAAGAATATTTTTCAAGTACCTTTATAAGGCATGGATTTTTTTAAAATATTTTTCAAGTACCTTTATAAGGCGTGGATTTTTTAAAAATATTTTTGAAGTACCTTTATAAGGCGTGGATTTTTTAAAAATATTTTTCAAGTACCTTTATAAGGCGTGGATTTTTTTAAAAATATTTTTCAAGTACCTTTATAAGGCGTGGATTTTTTTAAAATATTTTTCAAGTACCTTTATAAGGCGTGGATTTTTTAAAGAATATTTTTCAAGTACCTTTATAAGGCGTGGATTTTTTTAAAAATATAGAATCACTTTCTAAATCGATTTATGCATGTCCGCCCGTCCGTCTGTCTGTCTAGCCATGCTAAATTGTATACAAAGTACAGGTCGCATTTATGATTCGAATTGGATGAAAATTGGCATAGGTCACTTATTTGGCCCAAGGACGAATCCTATTGAAATTGGGAAAAATCAGTTTAGATTTAGATATGGCTCCCATATATATTTTCGTCCCGTTTAAGGTAAATGGTGCACCAAGGTCTCTAAAAATCTACCGATTTGCACGAAATTTGGCACAGCGCTAGACTGATGTGTGCAAAGTTTCGTTAAAATCGGTTCAGATTTAGATATAGCTTCCATATATACTTTCGTCAGATTTCGTGTAAATGGTGCACGAAAGTCCCTATTAATCCTTCGGTTTGTACGAAATTTGGCATATCGTACTGAATTGAGTCTAGAATGCTGTGTGGTAATCGGTTCATATTTCGATATAACTCCCACATATACATATATATTCGTCCGATTTGTATGTCCGAGGGAACATTGGCATGTAATTGTAAAGATATATATACCCATAGTGGTGAAGGGTATCATATAGTCGGCCCAGTCCGACTTTACTACTATCCTTACTGGTTTTTAAATATTTTTAAGGATTTGGATTTTTTAAAGAATATTTTTCAAGTACCTACGTCTTAAGAATATTTTTAAAATGAACTGCGCAAGTCGTAGGTTTTTTAAAAATATCCTTTTTAAGTTGTGGTTTTTTAATAAATATTTTTGAAAAGGACATGCATAGAGCCTGGATTATGAGAAATATATTTTAATGACCTTTTTAAAAGATCCTTTATAAGGTTTGATTTTTTGAAATTATTTTCAAGGACAATAACATCATATTAAACCCGTAAGGAAAGTAGTAAAATCGGACCGGGTCGACTATATGATACCCTTCACCACTTTGGGTATATTCAACAGATGAATCCTAACAGACGTCGCATTTTTAAAGGAATGAAATTGGATCCATAAACATTTTATTCTGCTACCGATACTAAATTTTTTTGGTCAGATATAGAAGCTATATCTAAATCTGAACCGATTTCAGGAAACTTAACACACATCATTTAGGTCTAGAATGATGTGTGTTATGTTCATTACGCTGAGCCAAATTTTGTGCAAATCGATAGATATATAGGAACTTTGGTGGACCATTTACATTAAATCGGACGAAAATTTATATGAAAGCTATATCTATATCTGAACCGATTTTCGTGAAACTTAACACACATCATTCTAGACCTTATTCATTACGCTGTGAAAAATTTCGTGCAAATCGAAAGATATATAGGGACTTTGGTACACCATTAAATCGGACAAAAATATATATTGGAGCTAAATCTGAACCGATTTTTCCCAATTTCAATGGGGTCCGTCTTTGGGCCAACCAGATGAGCTGTGCCAAATTTCATCCAAATCGGATCATAAATGCGACCTGTGATTTGTTTACGGACGGACATGCATAAATCGATTTAGAAAGTGATTCTATGCATATTCTCAAAAGGAACCATGGGTCTATCTCGATTCCTATTACCTGTTACAAACATACCTGATACAAACATATGCACAAAGACATAATACCCTGTAACACAGTGTGGTGAAGGGTATACAAAAAATAAGTGAAACCGTCGTTAAGCTTGGTGGAACAGATCTGTTTATACCCTTCACTATGTGCTTTACATTAAAAATTTCGTAAATTTTAGTCATTTGAATTGGAAATGCGGCTAATACCGTGAAAATATCGACCGGACAAAATATTCGATATAAATGAATTTTTATGTGGTTATGTCGATGGCATTTCTTCAGGTTCAGAGTGGTCGCCTATAAATAAAAAATATTTTTTTTGTAGATTTTCTATTCATGCAAAACCTCTTCAGGCATCTAGGCACGTTTCAGAGGTCATATGATGTATAATACTACAATTCCTTCAGATTTTTTCTATATACGAAAGGCGCTTTCTCATTTATAGAAGACCCTTCAAATATAGGAAATATTTAAGCGATTGTCTAATAAGTAGAATTTTTTCGTGGTCTAGAAAATTAAAAAAAATGGGTCTGTGAGACTTTATAAATATGGGTGCTTTGTAAAAACATGGATCGGCATTTACCATCTTGTGCATAACAAACAAAGTTTGGATAAATCCTACAAAATACCGAAAATGAGGTAAGGCCTTTATATGGGAAATATTTCAATACATGGACCTATATTGATTTATTGTACCTATTTCTGCATAGATGTATGCCAGTCTCTCAAAACCTAAAATGCTAGATTACAGCCACTTTGTTGGGCTATATTCGGACATGACATTCTATGTCGATTTAGAATTTTATTTTGATAACGAATATATTTTAAGGTACCTCAGATGAATATCTCGAGGTCTTGTAAATGGAATGACAAAAGTTAATATACAATCCAGGGTATAAAAATTGTTTAATTTTATAGAAGAGGATTTCATGTATTTCACAGAATAAAAAAAATGCATAGGAACCCTGCATGACTTCGCATTTCTTTCCCTCTTCATTATTAATAGATTTTATAAAAATAAATATATTTGTAATTATATTCCAGTTATTTGATTATTCAATTGCCTATTTTCCATTTACATCCATTTGTAGGAAGATCTACTCATCCATGGCGATTCGGTGTACGATATCATCGATAAACAAGATCATTCAGCGATACAGGCGGAACTTAATCGCAATGTGCCACCACAGCCTGGACAACATATCAATTCGGCGGCAGCAGCTGCTGCGGCAATCTCAAATTTAGAGGGGGAGCATCGAATGTTTCTGTGCCGCATGAATGTTAGTCGCAATGCTCGCAGACAAATGCGTTTTGGAGATCAGAAGGTAAGTTGGTTATGGAACTTGGCTGCCTGTATGGCTCTCCGGCCATAATGTGCACTGCAAAATTACTTTTTCAGCGAGAAAATCTTTATTAATAATTTTGGATTTTTTGTGCGCGTTATCTATTGGCTTTTGCAACAAAAAAAAACTAAACGCTATTGAATAAATCATGAAGATGCTGGGGGTAGATAGAATAATATTTTTGGTTGCCAAATGCCATACATATGTATGAGTGTGTGTGTGAGAGTGTTGGGAGCCAAGGGGAATGGGAAAAAGGATTTTTTGTTTATGATTTAATAAAGATAAGATTTTAATTTAAGACTAATGAAATATTTATTAAAAAAAAATACTCACAATTGCGTGTTGAGCCCATGCGCCACGTTATGAAGCCATGCGCCAGCAAGCCAGCATTGCAAAATGGAAACCTAAAAAATAAATAAAACACTTTTGATTGGGAAATGAAGCTGCTAATTAAAATCAATAAATTCAAAACTTTTTTTTAATGCTTAAATAAAAAATAAGAGTTTTAGGCACTCCTTGATTTGATATTCTTAATTTTCTTTAGACAAAATTAAAGGGTTCCCTCCATATTACCCTGGTTGAGAGGTCAAAAAAGCCCCTGACAATTTATGTTCAATTTAAAATTCTTTCAATTCAAATGAAGATGTTCACAAAGCCAACAGGTGGTGGTGGCAGTGGTGTACAAATATTTTGCCAGTATTTGACATTAAACAAGCCGATCCAGCGAACCAAAGAATTTCAACAATTTATCAACATTAACTTCAATATGTTGAAACAAGCACACGTTGTTTTCAGTTGTTTTTGTTGTTGTTTTTTTTTTTTTTTTTTTGAAACTCTGAATGCTCATTCAAAAAACCACAACTTCGATATCTCAAAAAGGCTTAAAAATATGCAGTTAACGTTACTGGTAGCACGCCACAATCCGTCCATCCATGCTGGAGGTTCACTCCGCATGCTAAATTTTTTCTTGCTGAATTATTCATCATTCAGTATTTTTTTAGCATGGAAGGCATAAGTGAGGTCGTTGGGGAGGGGAGATGCTTTGGAGGATTTTGAAAATCATTGCATGTCCGTCTGTGGCATGTCAAAACCTGTGTAGAAGCCACCGAGATGAGTTGAAACCTTAACATTTGGCGTTTACGCTTCGCGTTTTTGTTTTTTTGCGAAGTGAAACTCAAGTGATTTATAAACTGACAAACGATGACAGTTGTTGTGATGTTGGCGTTTTGTTTGTGTGCTCAAGCACAACGAAAAAAAGGAAACCTACATTCGTATGTTCGTTCTTCATACATCAGTTGGATTGATGTGAGCCTTGCTGGGATTGGGGCGTAGTTTTTAGGTAGGGGTGGGATTTTTAAAACATGAGAACTTTTGAACGACTTTTTTGAAGGAAAAATATTTTGCAGGATTTCAAAGCAGCTTCGGACGAAAATATATATGGGAGCTATATCTAAATCTGAACCGATTTTTACGAAACTTAGCATACATCATTCTAGGCAAATCGAATGATATTTATGGACTCTAGTGCACCATTTACCTTAAATCGGCGTAGATTTTTTAAAAAATATTTTTTCAATGACCAAAGAAGGCGTAGATTTTTTAAAAAATATTTTTTCAATGACCAAAGAAGGCGTAGATTTTTTAAAAAATATTTTTTCAATGACCAAAGAAGGCGTAGATTTTTTAAAAAATATTTTTTCAATGACCAATGAAGGCGTAGATTTTTTAAAAAATATTTTTTCAATGACCAAAGAAGGCGTAGATTTTTTAAAAAATATTTTTTCAATGACCAAAGAAGGCGTAGATTTTTAAAAAAATATTTTTTCAATGACCAAAGAAGGCGTAGATTTTTTAAAAAATATTTTTTCAATGGCCGAAGAAGGTGTAGATTTTTTAAAAAATATTTTTTAATGACGAAAGAAGGCGTGGATTTTTTAAAAAATATTTTTTTAATGACCAAAGAAGGCGTAGATTTTTTAAAAATATTTTTTTAATGACCAAAGAAGGCGTAGATTTTTTAAAAATTTTTTATGACCAAAGAAGGCGTAGATTTTTTAAAAATATTTTTTTAATGACCAAAGAAGGCGTAGATTTTTTAAAAAATATTTTTTTAATGACCAAAGAAGATTTTTTCAATAAAATATTATTTTTCAAGGGCCAAAGTCTAAGATTCTGAGGAGTTTTAAAGAATATTTTTTCTAAGGCGTGGATTTTTTAATGATTTTTTTTTTTTTTCAAGAACCACGTAAGCCTTGGTTTTTAAATAAGATTTTTTCAATGACCATCTATGGCGTGGATTTTTTAAAGGACCATCTAAAGCGTGGATTTTTTAAATAATATCTATTCAAGTTCCCAAAATAGGCTTCAGCTTTTCTATGCGGCCAGAGAAGACCTTCAGCTCTTCTATGCGGCAGAGAAGACCTTCAGCTTTTCTATGCGGTAAAGCGAAAATGTATTAAAAAATATTTTTCAAGGTCCAAAATTATTTTTGGACTTTGAAAAATATTTTTTGGAAGGCTTAGATTTTTTCAATAAAAAATTATTTTTCAATGTCCAAATTCTAAAATTTTTTAGTCTATTTCAAAAAATAATATTGATGTTTAAAAAATATCGATAGTTTGATTATGAAAATATTTTTCTCAAGCTCCTTCTTCAAATCTTACATTTCCGACGCCTTATCTCTTCTGACAAACCACACTCTACAACTCATTCATTCACTCATCATGTTTTGTCGTTGGTTAGCTCACTTGTCATGTCATCGTGTCGGTGCGTCGTCCGTACAGCAGGATCATCATCATCACAGCAGTAGTCTTGCTACATACCATCGCCACCACCAGTCACCACTTACAGTAGTCGTCAGTCACATTATGAGTTACAAACGTCAAAAATTGTCATGATCGCCCAAAACTGATAGTGTCACTGTGACAACGCAATGAAGTTGTGTGACGACGGCGGCGGCTAAGTTAGTGATTTTCGGTTTCAATTTTCTTGTAAGCCACTTTTTATTTTTTGTATTTCAATTGCTTGCGTTTTCATGGAGTTTCAACTAACTTCAGCTGGTGGCTGGTGGTTGGATGGCTGGCAAAAGGAGGCTGCTGTTTGCCACTGTAAACAATGTGTGCCACATTATATTTGTGGTGACAGCATGTGGGCGTCATCTTTATCTGAAAACGTTGCTAAGCGCTCTGCAAGAGCAGTCACAGTCGGCACAGCACCACACAGCCACATTAACAACTGCGAATATCTCAGCAACGATAACAACTAATTTAACACAGACAGCCAGCCAGCCACAGCAACAGCTTCACTCTCTGTTGGCCAACTTCAGTTTTTTTTTTTGCCATTCGTTTCGGTTTCAAATCAAAATTGTTCCATATATACTTAAAATAATAATTATTATTAAGTGTGGCTTTGTGTGTGTGTTAGTATTTTAATGATTTCTATTTCAAGAATAATTGAATAGCAAAAAACCTAGCATCGTAGACCAGCAATCCGAAATTGTAACATCCTTTGCGTTGAAGTGTCATCTAAAAAAAATTGCCAAATCAAATAAAGACAGCAAAACGAAGAAGACAATAAGCCGAAGAAGAAGACGAAGCTGCAAACCAATTATTTTAACACCCACTTCAATTTTTTTGTGTGTGAGTTTTTTATTTTATTTTTGTTGCGATTTTGTATTCGTTCAACAAGCATGCAGGTTTGAAGATCTTCTTCAGGTTAGTCTGCTTGAGATTTTAGATGGTGGAATAAGGAGGACTTGATGATACTTTAAAGTGAGGAAGAAGAGGTCCTTGAAGAAGCCTAAAATAAAAAATACCCTCAGAGTGGCATCAACTTATAACAAAACAGGAGTAGAAAGGATATGTTTCAAGGACTATAAAAAATTGTTTAGACCCAACTGGGTTCCACATTTTTGCAAAATATATCCGAGGTATAGATTAAAAAATGGAAAGTGGATTTTTTAAAGAATATTTTTTAAAGGAATATCTACGGCCTGGATTTTTTAAAGAAGATTTTTTCAAGGACCATCTAAGGCCTGGCTTTATTAAAGAGGCTTTTTAGGGACCATCGAATCCTTGGTTTTTTAAGAAGATTTTTTTGAAGCACCTTCTAAGGCGAGGATTTTTTAAAGAATATTTTTTCAAGTTCCCCAAAAAAAGGCGTAGATTTTTTAAAGAATATTTTTTCAAGTTCCCAAAATAGGCGTGGATTTTTTTAAAGAATATTTTTTCAAGTTCCCAAAATAGACCTTCAGCTTTTCTATGCGGCCATAGAAGACCTTCAGCGCTTCTATGCGGCCATAGAAGACCTTCAGCTCTTCTATGCGGCCATAGAAGACCTTCAGCTCTTCTATGCGGTCATAGAAGACTCTTCTATGCGGACATAGAAGACCTTCAGCTCTTCTATGCGGACATAGAAGACCTTCAGCTCTTCTATGCGGCCATAGAAGACCTTCAAATACTTCTATGCGGCCATAGAAGACCTTTAGCTCTCCTATGCGGCCATAGAAGACCTTTAGCTCTTCTATGCGGCCATAGAAGACCTTTAGCTCTTCTATGCGGCCATAGAAGACCTTTAGCTCTTCTATGCGGCCATAGAAGACCTTTAGCTCTTCTATGCGGCCATAGAAGACCTTTAGCTCTTCTATGCGGCCATAGAAGACCTTTAGCTCTTCTATGCGGCCATAGAAGACCTTTAGCTCTTCTATGCGGCCATAGAAGACCTTTAGTCTATGCGGCCATAGAAGACCTTTAGCTCTTCTATGCGGCCATAGAAGACCTTTAGCTCTTCTATGCGGCCATAGAAGACCTTTAGCTCTTCTATGCGGCCATAGAAGACCTTTAGCTCTTCTATGCGGCCATAGAAGACCTTTAGCTCTTCTATGCGGCCATAGAAGACCTTTAGCTCTTCTATGCGGCCATAGAAGACCTTTAGCTCTTCTATGCGGTCATAGAAGACCTTCAGCTCTTCTATGCGGCCATAGAAGACCTTCAGCTCTTCTATGCGGCCATAGAAGACCTTCAGCTCTTCTATGCGGCCATAGAAGACCTTCAGCTCTTCTATGCGGCCATAGAAGACCTTCAGCTCTTCTATGCGGCCATAGAAGACCTTCAGCTCTTCTATGCGGCCATAGAAGACCTTCAGCTCTTCTATGCGGCCATAGAAGACCTTCAGCTCTTCTATGCGGCCATAGAAGACCTTTAGCTCTTCTATGCGGCCATAGAAGACCTTTAGCTCTTCTATGCGGCCATAGAAGACCTTTAGCTCTTCTATGCGGCCATAGAAGACCTTTAGCTCTTCTATGCGGCCATAGAAGACCTTTAGCTCTTTTATGCGGCCATAGAAGACCTTTAGCTCTTCTATGCGGCCATAGAAGACCTTTAGCTCTTTTATGCGGCCATAGAAGACCTTTAGCTCTTCTATGCGGCCATAGAAGCCCTTCAGCTTTTCTCTGCGGCCATAGAAGACCTTCAGCTCTTCTATACGGCCGGACACCGAACTTCAGCTATTCTTCTTATTATTATTATTTTAAGATGTAGTGTTGTTAAAGAAATTTTGTTCAACGATAATTCGAGGATATTAAATATCATCTTTCTACCTCTATAATACCAACCTATAGTATATATAGAAAACTTGTCTATCACTGATCCCCCGATGAACCTTATATATACGGTACAAAATTTTTTGTAAAAGTCCTTAAAATTGTTTTCCACCAGAGCAAGCGTAAATCCGCATTCTAAAATCCGCAACAAAAACCCTCACCTGGGCAATACATTATTTAAAATTTTTATAACATTAATCAATGATTAAATCGATGTCATTTAGAAAAAACTGCCTACCCTTTTACAATAGCATTTCCGAAAATTTAGAAGAAAAAAAAAACAAACCTACGACTAAGCAGAACATGTTACTTCATATCAATTTTACAACATCGATTAGAATGTAATAACGTAACATTTTTTTGGGGACATAAAGTTGTAATTGTACGGAGCAAAAAAAAAACAACAAAACACACAATCACTTTTTGCTGAAAAAAATTAACAACAACAAGTGATTTTTTTCAAAGTTTGTCATAAAAATTTGCTCTCCATGTTGGACAATTACTCTCCAAGCTTTAGTTTTTGATTTCTATTTTCAATTTTTCGGTTTATTTTTTTATTTTGTTTCTCTATTCTAGGTTGTCTTGGTTCAGGGTCATTATTTGTCATTTCTGCCACTTTGCAGCCGCAATGAACCCGTATTCTTGGCCACATGTACACCGATCGCCATGCCCGAGACGAGGGAGTGTGTGGTGCAGGGTGCCACCAATGTCTTTACCACCATCCATTCCATGGATATGAAAATAGCGCACATTGACAAAAAGTAAGTTGGACTAGTTTCGAAAAAAAAACAATTTTATTATTTTTATTTCATTCGGTTGGCCTGCCTTCACCACTACCACCGCTGAGCATTAGCACCAGTCACCAACCAGTCTCCCCAAGTGCGATTCGCATGTGTCCATGCTGGGTCCCCAGAGTCTTTTGCTCAGTGGTTGTTTTTTTCCGAGGCAGGCTTAGTGAAGGTCAGTTATTTATGACAGTTGGTTTTTACTAATTTTGGTGTTGTTGTTTTTCTTTTTCATTTCAGTGGCGAATTTCATTTAGGCTATTCCAGAGGTGATATTCAGGGACAATCCTGGTATGGCCTAATACACTCGGATAATTTACGAGAAGCTCAAAGTAAACATAGACTAAGTAAGTAAAACAACAGAAGACTTCCAGCACTTCTATGAGGCCATAGAAGACTTTCAGCTATTCCTTGCGGCAATAGAAGATCTTCAAATATCCTGTGCGACCACACAAACTCTTTAGCTCTCCTATGCGGCCATAGAAAACTTCCAGCTCTACTATGCGACCACAGAAGACTTCCAGCTCTTCTATGCGGACATAGAAGACCTTCAGCTCTTACATGAGGCCATAGAATACCTCCAAATCTTCTATGCGGCCATAAAAGACGTCCAAATTTTTTTTGTGACCATAGAAGACCTTCAGCTCTTCTATGCGGATAAGAAGACCTTCAGCTCTTCTAAGCGACCATAGAATACCTTCAGCTCTTCTATGCATGCGTTTTTTATGTGACCATAGAAGACCTTCAGACCTTCTATGCGGACATAGAAGACCTTCAGCTCTTACATGAGGCCATAGAATACCTCCAAATCTTCTATGCGGCCATAAAAGACGTCCAAATTTTTTTTGTGACCATAGAAGACCTTCAGCTCTTCTATGCGGATAAGAAGACCTTCAGCTCTTCTATGCATGCGTTTTTTATGTGACCATAGAAGACCTTCAGCCCTTCTATGCGGATATAGAAGACCTTCAGCTAAGCGACCATAGAAGACCTTCAGCTCTTCTAAGCGATCATAGAAGACCTTCAGCTTTTCTATGCATCCATATAAGACCTTCAGCTATTCTATGCACCCATAGAAGACCTTCAGCTCTTCTATGCATCCATTGGAGACCTTCAGCTTTTCTATGCATCCAAAGAGGCCCTTCTATGCGGATATAGAAGACCTTCAGCTCTTCTGTGCGGGTATAGAAAACCTTCAGCCCTTCTAAGCGACCATACGCCCATGGAAGAACTTCAGACCTTCTATGCGACCATAGAATACCTCCATAGAAGACCTACAGTTCTTCTAAGCGGCTATAGAAGACTTCCAGCTCTTCTATGCGACCATAGAAGACCTCCAGCTTTCCTATGCAACTATAGAAGACCTCCTATTCTTCTCTACGATCATATAAGACCTCCAGCTCTTATATGCGGCCATATAAGGATCCCAGACCTCTAGTTCTTCCATACGCCCATAGAAGGCCTTCAGATTTTCTATGTGGCCATAGAAGACCTTCAGCTCTTCTTTGTTGCCACATAGGACTATAGAGATATTCCTGCTCTCCTTGCCATTACATTTTATTTTAGACCTAATCAGAACATCTAATTAATATTTTCCCCCCTCTCATCATGTTTTTTTTCTTCCAGTAACACAATCCGAACAAGATCGTTCATGTATTTTATTGGTGCGAATGCAACGACGTCAGGGAGATTTTATTTGGGTACATGTTGTGCTGCAAGTACGTGATGCCCAGGATACCAATCAGCAACCAGTCATAGTGTGTACCAATCAAGTCTTAAAGTAAGTTGAAGAAAACCCCACCCTCCTTCCCGTTCTCCCTCATATATCCGTAGGTTTAATAAAAACATAATAGCCTCTCCCTTCACCCTGCGTTTCTTTTATTCCCCAGTGAACGTGAAGCCTCTGTAATGCTGCTAAATTCATGGCTCTACCACTACTACACCGTACAATCGAAAATTCAATTTGGTCTACCCTATGATGGTGGTACCCGCGTACCAGCCACCACACCCACCTCTGGAAATCCTGCTTCCGTTTATTACCACCATCACATACATCATCATTCTGGAACGTCTGCCTTCTCACCAACCTCAGTGGTGGGTTCACCATACTCAGGGCTACATCATGCCTCAAATCATCACGCCCATCCTCTGCAGCATCAGTATCATCCACATCCGCATATGCCCTCACATTATGGTTCATTTCATTCGAGTGGCAATGGTGCGGGTGGGGGAGAAATCCCAATGAATGGTAACTCTCGCACAAATGGTGAGGTATTAATGGACTCCCCTGATTCTCGGGTGGCAAGTGAGGCGACCTCAGGACAATTAACAAATGGTACAAGTTTACGACTAGAACCAGTGGATTATAGTCAATTGGGTGGTGGTGGAGGCTCTGGCACAGGTGCAATTTCAAACCATTCCATATCGCCGGCCCGCTCTCCCTCCTCCCAGAAATCAAATGGAAACGATTTACGCTGTGAAAGTGCCAATAGTTCGATATCAAGTCATGTATCCGCCGCCACCAGTTATGCCATGTCATGTACCAGTCACAGTCGTGTAAGTCCACCCCCGGCCAAACGTAGAGCCCTGGGAAAATTGGAACCCATCTATGTCCCCGATACCTCCGAAGAGGGTAGTCACTACGAAATTTGTGAATTAGATCCCGTCTATCATCGTACCTCCGACAATCATCATCATTCATCGGTAATATTTGCCACTGTAGTGCCGACAAGACCACGTCTTCTCAATAAATTATTACCTCCCGATCCCGCAGAATTTATGGATCAATGGAATCCCAGTCCACCATGGTCGGAGAGTGCCCAGAAGCTAGATAATTCCTCTTCGTCACAACAAGAACTAAGTCCCTGCATAACAACCACCCCGCCGACACCCACAAGTGCTCCACCCACCATGGGGGTGGGTGGGAATTGTAACGCCAACGGTATATCTGCCACATTGGGTTCGGCATTCTCATTTGAATGGATGCCCGAACAATTGGTACCCGTTGTACCGGATAGCTGTGTAACTTGCCTTAATTCCGAAGGCTTGCCAATGGTGATGAGTCACCATCATCATCATCACAACCATCATCATCATCATCCTGCCGTTGATACAGCTAATGGTCATCATCATTCTCCTCATTGCCCACCACCCCCACCATGGACATCACACATGATTAGTTCGGATCATTATAATCACCTCTTGAGTACACAAAATCAACAGCAGAGAATATTGAGTTTAAATGAAACGGTCCATGGTGATCATCCACAACATCATCATCAGCAGCAGCTAAATCATCATGAAAGTGTTCCTGTTGAGGGACATGTCATGAAATGTGAGCGTCCCGATGAATTAAACCCAACAAATGGTAAGTTTTGAATTTTTCAGAAAAAAATGTTTCAATATATTGTAGGAATAAAGGTTGCGGGAGTCCTCACAGACGAGCTGATCAGAAAATCGTATTTGGCAAGAAAATAAAGAATTAAAGGGTGGGGGTATTTATTGTAGAGTGTAATGCTAGGTTACCATGATGGGTCAGTGAGCCTTTATAGGTGAGAGGAATAGATTATAATCTAAACGCCAGGGTGTCTATGAAGATGAGCCGAACATCCAGATATGTAATTAGACATAGAACCATAGAGGACGTGCAGCTCCTCTATGTGGCCGTAGAAAACCTTCAGATCTGCAATATGGCCATAGAAGACCTTCAGTTCTTCTAAGGAGCCATGTAAGACCTGCAGCCCTTCGGTAATAGATGACCTACAGCTTTTCTCTGCGGTCATAGAAGACCTTCAGTTCTTTCATGCAGCCATAGAACATTTTCAGCTTTTCTATGCTCTTGTAAAGCAGGTTTTCCGTGAGGTCATAGATGACCTTCAGCTCTTCCAAGCAGCCATAGAAGACGCATAGAAGAGCTGTACCTCTTCTCAGTTCTTCTATGCGGTTATGGAAAACCTGCAGCCCATCTATGCGGATATAGAAGACTTAAAGCTCTTCTATGCGGTCATAGAAGGCCTGCGCCCATCTATGCGGTTATAGAAGACCTACAGCTTTTCTATGCGGTCATAGAAGACCTTCAGTTCTTTCATGCGGCCATAGAACATTTTCAGCTTTTCTATGCTCTTGTAGAGCAGCTTTTCCATGAGGTCATAGATGACCTTCAGCTCTTCCAAGCAGCCATAGAAGACCTCCAGCTCTTCCAAGCGACCATAGAAGACCTTAGCTCTTCTAGACAGCCCTGGAAGACCTTGGCTCTTCTAGGCAGCGATAGAAGACATACTGCTCTTCCATGCAGCCATAGAAGGCCTTTAGCTGCTGTAGGCAAATAAAGTAGATCATCAGCTCTTATTTGCCACCAAAGAAGACTTTCAGCTGTTCTATTGCAGCCATAGAACCCTCTAGATCTTCTATACCATCATAGAAGTCGTTCAGCACTTTTATGCCGCCAAAGACGACCTACTTTCTTGACGCGCAGAAGGGAGTATTTATTGAAAAGCTGAAAGCTAGAGAGTTTTTAGAGTTGAAAAGAAGATCTGACAATTTTACTGTCAGGGAATTAGGATTGAGCTGATGGTCCTCCTTAACGAGGAAAATACCATGAGATTAGGCCAGCTGAATTGAAAGTCCTCTGAGCCAATATACAGAAAATCTAAAGAGCCGTATAGTCTTTGTAAAAAAATTAAATATCAAAAAATAATTATAGATTATATGAAGGTCTAGGATCCTTTTATAGATGAAAGGTAGGGAAACATTTATAGACGATCTGATCTTTTACGACAACTTCAAATTATGCCACATAATATCGTCCATAAATAAACAAGCATTCATTTAGCCTGTCTATAAAGATTCCGGCCCATCGATCAATAATTGTTTTAGGTTACCGTGTTAGATCAGATTTGAAAGCCAGAGGTTCTTTATTGGCTAGTTGAAGGGCAGGGTAATCTTTATAGGCGATCTGGCGATCAAACAATACCTCTTCATCTCGTCCATAAAGGATTGAACTTTTAGAGTGACTATAAAGATAACCCGTCCCTTTGGTCTATAATAGTTCAAGTTGTCGTCGAGTAGTCTATAAAGACTCTCTGTCCTTCTGATCATTTGTCATGATTCCCTGGCCCCTTCTTCTTACAGAAATTGTTATTTTTTAATATTTCTAATTCATCCCCTATGTGTTTTTTTTTTTCTTTTTAGATCCGGAACAAAATCATCAGCCACGCAACAAACAGGAGGGTCATTAAGTCGAGACGGTGGCTATTCGGCAAAAGTCAATATGGAATGCCATAGAACCTCTCATAACCCCACAGGCTCTTATCCGCTTAAATCGAAGATTTAATAACGTCTAGGGGCAAAGCCAATTAACAAAATAATAAAAATGTAATTTATTTTCAATAATTTTTCTTTTTTTAACGATTTTTTTACTGTCAATTTTTAGTTTGTCTAGTTTGTAAATTAGCTTTTAAATTGGAAACGAAAATAGTGCAATTGTTTTTTTCTTTTTTTAAGTTGTAAACATTTCGAATAATTTCTGAGATAAGCCGAGAGGGAGAGACACTCATAATAATTGCTTTATTTAGTCTCAAAGTGGAAACCGGTACATACATAGATATGTATCATAAAAATATATACATATACATATATTTATTTTTTTTTTATTGTATAAACAAAGTTTTGAGAATTTTCTTTTCTAAATGTCATATTTTTTATGTATTTTTTTTTTTTGTAGCTATTATTTAGTTGTAGACATAATTAGTATTTTAGTTAACAAATCCAACAACAAATTGCAATAAAATTTTAAATTTTATTTATTTCGTGTAACTCAAAGCGGTGTTGTTCGATATTTTCAAATGGATGGGGAAAGAAATGGTGAGTAAAGAATGTGATTTTATTCTAGAAATTTCAGGGTTCAAAAAGAGATGAGAGGGAGCTGAAGGGAGTCTCTATAGACGAGCTGAAGGAGCTCTATAGACGAGCTGAAGGAAGGCTCTATAGACGAGCTGAAGGGAGTCTCTATAGACGAGCTGAAGGGAGTCTCTATAGACGAGCTGAAGGGAGTCTCTTATAGACGAGCTGAAGGGAGTCTCTTATAGACGAGCTGAAGGGAGTCTCTTATAGACGAGCTGAAGGGAGTCTCTTATAGACGAGCTGAAGGGAGTCTCTTATAGACGAGCTGAAGGGAGTCTCTTATAGACGAGCTGAAGGGAGTCTTTACAGGCAAACTGATTTAGATGAGCCAGTCTCTACGAATTTACAGAATTTTTCAGACAATATTAGAGGAAGTGTATATAGACGTCGTGCAGCACCGAAGTACTGTACCAATTGGAGAGCATGCAGAAGGCACACTCTCCCCCTTGGTGAGGGGCGAAACCACAACCCCCGCGATGCTCCCCAGGGGGCCACACCAACTGTCAGGCTGAATCTACAGATCCAGGGGCACCTGACACCCGCGGTATGGAAAACCTCCGCTCAGGCTCGAGACCAAAGCCTCTTCCAGTTTGACGCACGTCCGGGCTGGTATCCCAAAACAACAATATGCAACGACGATAACCGCAGGTGGCAAGGAAAAACCTGGCCACAAGCAGTGACAAATACACAAAACACAAACAATTAACATGCTGTCCTCACGGACTGCACCAAGGGCCCCAACGGACCGCGGCATCGGACATCACAACACAAACAATGAACAAAACTGCCCTCACGGACAGCCTACACTACATCCACAGGACGAGTGAAGCACACGAAGTGGACACCACAAACCACCCACGATGCACATACAACCGCAGGCAGACCATACACCATCTACAACTCCCAACAGCCGCCGATCACCGCACCAAGACCAGCACCGCCACCCGGTGCACCTACCCACCACCACCCGGTGCAACCAAACCACCCAATTGCAAGGGGGCTATGTACGAGGACCACCTCCACTAAGTACTGTCCATCTCCTAAATGCTTCACGAGCAAAACTATTTAAACAACTAAAGGTCCGATCGTCTTCAAGTGCCCTACTGAAATCCCACCCCGCCCCTCCATTCGATATACCCATACTTTCTAAATCTCTAATGTCATCATAGTAACAGCATTCCGTCAGTATATACTTCCACTCCTCGGTCATCCCGCACCCACATAAATCCGTCTGGGCAAGGCCTCTTTTATGCAGAAAAGCATTAAGAGAGCCATGCCCCGTCAGTAAGAAACCAGTCCTTAAGCCGAAGCGAAAGTCTGGCCGGTCCACTACGAACGTTGCGTCACGAATTGTCACTGTTCGTCCACCTAGTCCTCCACCTATCAACAACACAGTCCCGAAGGATAGTGCTGTACCGCCTACTCTCCCCATCCACCAAATCAGAAGGCCTGAGCCAATCATCCTCATCCAACTGCAAACCACGCTTAAGCTTATACATGATAGCCCTACATCTCACTTCAAGATCAAGCGGCGCGGCGCCAAGCAGCACTTGCAACGCCTCTGTTGAAACAGTGCGACACACTGGCAAACACGCTAACATGACGACCCGCTGACACGAAAGGAGCTTTCTCTGCCCGAAGACAGAGGAGGCAGTTCTGTACCATATAGGTGCACCATAAGTTGCGCAGGCAACAAAAAGCCCACCATATATGATACGTACAGAGCGCCTACTCAAGCCCCAATTAGTCCGCAAAACACGACTGATGGTCCCAACGACCGTTGTCAGCTTCTCTTTCAACCGATCAAAGTGTGGAAGAAAATTCAAACACTCTGACACCGTTACTCCCGTTGGAGGTGTTTGAATTTTCTTCCACACTTTGATCGGTTGAAAGAGAAGCTGACAACGGTCGTTGGGACCATCAGGCGTGTTTTGCGGACTAATTGGGGCTTGAGTAGGCGCTCTGTACGTATCATATATGGTGGGCTTTTTGTTGCCTGCGCAACTTATGGTGCACCTATATGGTACAGAACTGCCTCCTCTGTCTTCGGGCAGACAAAGCTCCTTTCGTGTCAGCGGGTCGTCATGTTAGCGTGCTTGCGAGTGTGTCGCACTGTTTCAACAGAGGCGTTGCAAGTGCTGCTTGGCGCCGCGCCGCTTGATCTTGAAGTGAGATGTAACACCGTTAACAGTACACGAATACCTTATGCCGCGTTCACCAGCTCGAATGCAGGGAGGACGACTGCGTGCCAACCTGCCTTTCAACAGCATCAGCACCGTCTTCTCAGTAGCCACCTCCACTCCAACTCGGTCACTCCAAGCCTGCACAATCTACATAGCTTGCTCACCACGATTTTCCAGTTCAAGGCGACTATCCCCTTCAATCATGATGAGCAAGTCATCCGGATATGCGCAAACCTTAAAGGAAGCAGCCAACTCCCGCAACAGGGGATCCATCATGAGGTTCCATATACATGGACCACAAATGATACCCTATGGGCAACCCCGCTGCACATCCCTCCAGACCGAAGCACTGGCTCCCACGACACAAGCCTTCCTTCCAGGAGTAGGAAGAATTTATAGGCCAGCTGTTGTTGTAGCAGCTCTATTGTTTTTATACAATGGGCTGAGGTGATAGACGTTGGCCGAGAAAGCCTCAGGTAGTTTCGGATCGTAGACCCCTTTGTCGTGACATTGACTATTTGGACTGAAGGTCAGGAAGCTACTGTTACTTATAGGCGATCTGTGAGTCAGGGTGTCTTTGTAGACTTGTTGAAGAAGGCCTGAAAGGATAGACGAGTTGAAGTCCAGTATATTTTTGGAAAGTCAAAGAGCCTTCATGGACAAACTTAAAACCAGAGGTAGAGATTAGAGTTAATCCCCAGGAAGTCTTTGGGATTTCTAACTTTCCTATGTATAGAATACCTCTAGACAATCGTTTCGGAGACCTCTTGAGATCATCTATCTACAGAAGGGTTCTATGTGGTCTGTATGTATATATTTTTTCTGGTACTACAAAATACTACAAGTTTTTAAATTTCCCAAAATATATATGTCGTATATATTCACCATATGCTGTTGATGTTGTTTACCTGGCTCTTGGTGTCTGTTGTAAATAATTCACATCCTTGCTAGACACCACCAAACACTCAGATAGACAGCCAGCCAGTCATCTAGCCAGCCAGCCATCCAGCCAATGAAATGAAAATAACATTTCTTTGTCACCCAAAAGGTAATTTTTACTGGAAAAAGTGAAGAAAACGTGTACAACTTGGCAAAATACTCGTGTTTGGAAAATTCAAATCACATTTGAATGGATTTTGTTGTTGTTGTTGTCGTCGTTTTGTTTCAATGGTTTTCAATCCATTGGGGGTGCTGTTGCATTGGCGCTTTTTTTTTTGTTGGCCTGATGTTACATCCCAGAGGAAAGCCCAAAAGGCTATGAAATGAAATTCAGTGGAACAACATCTCAGCGACATAAAAGCTGTTTGGGGTTTTTGTTGTTGGTGTTGTTGTTGTTTCTGAAACATATTTGTGGCACTCGTGTCAGTCAGAGGCCAGTCTTCTTGGCTACTACTCCAGCATTTAATGTAACATCAGAGTACTTCATCTCTATGGGACAGACAATTGGTTGGTTGGTCGTACAGACAGACAGACAGGCAAATACAAATGGACAGACATTGAATTCAAATAATAAACCCAAACGAAACAAAACGACAACAACCGCAACAAAGCTGAGAGACAAAACTCACCCTCACACCCAATATTAAAATCATTCAGAACAAAAGGTATGTCGTGACCCCAACGTGAATGCGTTTTTATGCGATTTAAATGTTGCCAAATAGTCGCGAACTCTTTATTATTATTGTTGTTGTCGTTGTTGTAGTTGGCTAATGTTATTGTTGCTGGCATTTAATGCTGCTGTTCCTGCTGCACTTCCATACTTATGGTTAACTTGGCCCTGGCTATTTTTTTCTGGATTGTTTGTCGTCATTGTTAAACGGTGGCTGCTTATGTTTACCTTCTTGCCTGGTTATTTAAAAAAAATACCAAAAATAAAAACTCCCGACCAGAAGGATTCGAAACATTCAAACAGATTTAACATAGTTTTGTCTTGAATATTTCTCTTTTTTTGTGGCAAGAAGGAAATATCTGGCTGGGCATTGAGCAGTTTACAGCTCCAAAGTTTAATTCAAATCAAAACAAAGTAACCGAATCTTATCAACCAGGAAACATATGTGATAAAGATTAAAATTTGTCACATGAAGGCTCTCCTCAGATTGCTAATAAAGACTCGTTCCTTGTCAGCTAGTCTTGGAAGATTATCTGCTTTCAGA